CCCCTCTGTACACAGACACCCCCACACTGATCACACAGGCAGCACACCTACGGGTCACATCACAGAGAGTGACCTGACTCCCACTGCACAGCAGTTCTATCCGTTCCGGATATTACAGCCCGTCCAGGCTCTCCAGCCACGTGCTCTCAGCAGGTTCCGGAGCCCGGGAGCGGAGCAGGCCGCTGCGCAGTGGGAGCCCGCCCCCCGCCGGCCCGGCGCCCTCACCGGCGGAGAGCTGCAGCCAGGCGCAGATCTTGTAGACGGTGGCGGCGTTGCAGAATCGGAAGAGCGCCAGGCAGCCCACGCTGGCCCACACCAGCGCCAGCGACATGCACACCAGCACCGCGGGCGTCTGGAAGGAGGGCAGGGGCGTCAGGGTGCCCAGCGAGCCCCGGCACTCGGGCACCAGCCAGTCGGTGTCCAGGCACACCTCGAACAGCCCCAGGGAGCCGGCCAGCGGGGGCGCCCCCCCCTGGCCGGGCCGGTATCGCACCTCCCCGGTGCCCACCCAGGAGGGCTGGATGAGGATGACCACTTCGATGACGGCAAAGCACAGGGTGCACACCGCCCAGAGGGCGCCCACCGCCCGCGCGCTCCGGATGAACTCAGTCTGGTACAGCCGGGCCACCTCCAGAGTGTGGGGCTGCATGGCACAGCACAGCTCGGCTCGGCTCGGCTCGGCTCGGCTCGGCACAGGACTGGACAAGACAAGACAAGACAAGACAAGACAAGACAGGACAATAAGAGATAAGACTACTCAGCACATCACAGCACAGGGCTGGAAAAGACAAGACAGGACAATAAGAGATAAGACTACTCAGCACATCACAGCACAGGGCTGGAAAAGACAAGACAGGACAATAAGAGATAAGACTGCTCGGCACATCACAGCACAGGGCTGAAAAAGACAGGACAACTCAGGACAGGACAGCAGGGCACAAGCTCAGGACAAGGGTGCAGCGCAGACGCAGCCCAGGGTGCGAAATCAGAGCAGCAGCAGCTTCTGCAAAGCCACTGCCAAAAAAGGACAGCAGCACCGACGACTGAGAAGCCCATTCAAAGAAAGAAAGGACGTCGAGGATGCAGAAAGCGAGCAGGAGCAGTCCAGGAGGAGAGAGTCCAGGCTGCGGCAGGGTCACGGAGGCTGAAGACAGGCCACAGGGGAGAAAGGGGGTTTGGCTGAAACGATATCAAGGCATGAGAGAGGCGGAAATAACGAAGGATAAAGAATGAGAGGAGGCCGAAGTGTACACACAAGAAAAACAACACACAAGGACAATCACACCAACCGCTGGATCGAGGGAGAGAGAGGAGGACAAATTCTTCCTCCTCGGCCTCTGTCCGTCTGTGGCCGATGGAGGCTCTTCACACACGAGTGGAAGGGAGGAGCAGGCCTGGAGGGGAGTGGGCGGGGGGGGAGTGAGATGATGGAAGAAATGGATGGGTGGAAAAAAAAAGATTGCAGAGAGAACGACAGCACAGCGAGGGGGAGAGAGAGAGAGAGGGGAGGGACTCGTGGCTCACAGCTGACTGCAGAGCTGCACCGATGCGGAATGCAAGAGACTGATTGCGGGGGGGGCGGGGAGGGGGGAGAGAGGCCGGCGGGGAGAGGCAGAGACGGAGATGCAGTTTCTGAGAAACACTCTGGGCTTAGAGAAACCTTCTTCCCCAGAATAACAAACCTCATCCAGGAATTCCCCACACCTACCAGAATTAGAACACCTCACAATCCTCCAGGGATTGTTGGGGAAACTCAACAGAGCTGCAGCCCAGCGTGTGATCTCCTGTCGCAGCCCGAGGGACAGAGAGTG